ATCAGCCCAGAGGTTGTTTCAGGGTTTGATCTGTGAGTTAGCCGTGACCTGTCTTAGATTAGCCCAGAGGTTGTCTCAGGGTATCGACAAAATCAGCGAATCTCGTTATTTAGACGGGAAAAGGTGGAGGGATCTGCATGGACCTATACTAGACAAGTCAACGACCTTCTATTGCCTCCCTATTGTTTTTGCGATAAGAAATTGAATTTGAATATTAATACTGATCATGGATGACGTTCTGTATTCAAATCACAAAGAAAAATAAATAAATAAATTTCCCTTGAATCAACACCATCTTAAACCCCATTATTCACCATTAACGAGTCTTCTGTTTGACTTGACAACGATTAAAAGCTCTCTGTTATTTACAATCTGACATCCAGGTAGAAAATGAATATTAAAACAAACGTACCAAACTATAAATCATTTCAGTTGGAAGGCTACGATATTTTTTTTACAAAACGGGATTTCAATATTTGTTATCCCCGTAGTAAGTCTTTTTACATTTTAATTTTAATAATGGATTCGTCTTTAGTTAAATAGAATCTAAAGCTTTTATGAATTCCTCGGCAAAGTTAAAGTACAAGTTAATAGCCTGGGCACTTGAGAAGTGACGTCATGTCCGACATTTTGAATAAACTCTCTGAAATAGTGTCATAAAATGACATTAGTCAGTACGAAACTGAGGTGTCGTAAAACCTGCGAAAATTGCCCAGCGAAAACTAGGAACTATAGAACAGTCTAGGTTCAATTAATGCATGGTTCATTATTCGAATATTGAAATTAATTATTCTTTCTGAAAATACGAATACTTCTAAGTCTGATCCAAATAAAAAATGAGTCAAAGCTCGAATTCTGATTGGAGTATGGTTTTCCTTTTATGGAATAATCCAATCGGAATTCGAGTTTTAAATCGGTTGTTATTTTGAATCCTGAGTCTTCGTATTCTCGGAAAGAACACTACAATGTCAATATTCCAATAATGAAACTATTAATGTAAACCTAGGGGATTAAACGTGAGCCGTTTTGACTGTAAGGCGAAAGTTTGATTGTGATTAAGTCTTTGTACTACTATATCAACCATATTACTAACATGCATATCATTATGTCAAAGCCGCCATTTTGATTGCCGCGAATTTTTGTTATTTGAATGTGTTGGAAAAGATGCACAAATGTTAAACCATCTATCTTATAATTAGCTAGAATTGAAAAGTGTTTATGAGTAATTTTTCTTTAGAAGTGTAGTGTAAGATAATCSTTTCATTGACCACAATAAATGATTGAATCTATCCGGTCTTTCGACGCCTCTTATTCAATATTTGTTGTTAAAATAATTGCAAATAAATTCCCATTAAACTGAATCAGTTATGTATTAAACATTATTTTTAATTGACTTGTAACTGCTTGAAACTATTAGTGGCTATTATTTCGTCATAGTACTAAGTTTGGCCTCGTTGTTTCGTATTTTTTCGTATCAGTTTTAGTCCAACATCAAGGCAACTGATTTATCGTAATTTCTTTTCTTTTTATCACCGTTCACCATCTTTTTAATCAATTTACAATATATACGTTTCTTCGAAGTACCTTTATTTTTTTACTCGCTGATATTCAGATCAGATAGCTTGTGTCTAAGGARGGAGGACAGAAGAAACAGAAATTCAATGAATACAGTTCACGAGTAAAAAAAGGCAAGTCTTATCCTGATGGTCATACGATAGTCTTGTGAAGAAAGTGTACATAAGCAAGCAAATACGTATCCTATTCTGACCTTGATTTACAGTGAAAACTAACCATGACTAACTCGCGTTTATGTCCCAACAGCTCGACTACGTCTGTCAAAGATTCTTTTCTTTCTCAAAAAGTTAGTTTCATTCCCTAAAAAAACCCGATGTACTAATGTTATACCATCTATCCTATAACTGATATCAAAGTGTTTTTAGTAAATTTTCTCTATAGAGGTGAACTGTTCAACCAAAAAGATTATATACAATCCAAAAATATTGAATTTAATCATTTCATTACGCTCACAATATATGCTGAACCTTCCGGCTTTTCGACGCCTCTTTTTCAATATTTATAGTTAAAATAATTGCAATTAAGATCGAAAGATGGAGCGTCAAATCCTTATGAAAAATAAATAAATAACTATCTTTGTGTACTTTTGAACTCAAATTAAAGATGTTAGGAAGTTCAGTTATAATTATAGTGAAAACAAGATCTTAAAATTTTCCTTTAAGATCTTTTTATTCAATTATTTAAAACACGTAGAAAATTAATCGACCTTTTATAAAGTGAATCTGTAATAAAGCTAAGGTAACTGCTCACAGGTTTTCTGTGTTGATTAAAAATTTTTGATCTTAAGTTCGAAAATTTGCTGGCTAATTTTGGACTTATGAGTGAAAATTAAAAATACTTTTTATGATAAATTGACTCAATAGTAATTTTTACTTAATTAATAATAATGCTTGATTACGATAAAATCTTCGATGTTAAGATTAAAGTATTAAAGTTTAGCTATACAAGTTTGAAATTTAATTTTAGGGCATTGAAGATTTGGACAGGAGTCTAAACCTTATGAAAATATCAATAAAAACACGGATAGCATTTGAGAGTGCCAGTCAAGAACATGCGAAATGTTTGTTTTTCTCTCTCAAACCTTCTGATATATAATCTACATCTATAAGCAATGAAACATCTTAAACTCTTTTTTTTTTTCCTTTCAATATTTATACTGAGATCTTGAAAGCATACTTTTTGATAAAATTTAACTTCAAAACCAAGTTAGATGTGTTTAATCATAATTTTACTTTTTTTTTAAATACACCTATTTCAATCGTTGTCATCGCCAAAGGCGATAGGCGATATATCATACAGACATAGAAATGGTGCCCGTCATTGAATACAAAGAACATCGAATCAGTCTCAACACTAAGGTCCATGTTCTTGACGAGAATAAGAAGCAGAAACACAAGTCATTCCAGCTATTCTTGTATCTTGGAATGACCTCCCTACATCGCTTTCCGCTTTTTGCCCATTGCCTATTTGGATGATGACAACGTTTTTTGAAATAGGTGTATTCTTAAAGATTTATGCATGAGTTTTATACATGGAATCTATTTTTCTATCAATTTAAAATATGTTTTACAGAAAAAAGTGAAGGATAAAGCGTACAACGTTCAGGTAAACAAACGGGAAATATAGCAGATGGCCTTAACAGCTTTAGTTTTGTCCTTTAACTTCATAAATAATATCAAAAATATTTGAATATATTATTTCTACATCTAGTCTTTCCTACCTGTAGAATTTGCAAACTTTGTAAGAAAAATCTGTAAAAGAAATATACCAAAAACTTCGTTGTAATAAAGTTTTTCGTGCCAAACATGTTCATAGTTTGTCGTCATGAATATTTTTCTAGTCAAAAGCAAAGAAAACACTACAAAAATTTCAAAATACTAACCTGAAAGACCAAAATAAAGAAGTACTTAAAAATTGTCATATTTAAAAGTTGGATCTCCCTTTTGTCTAGTTGTGCTCAGCACTCGTCACTTTTGGACAAGGACACTTTTTCTCTCTCATCAGTACGCTTAGAAGAATGCTTTAAGATTTTTTCTGTATTGAGTAACCGAACAACTGTCAATCAATGTCACTTTTGCATTCTCACGAGCCAGTCATTAACCAATCAGCGACGCTTTTAGTATTTGAGAAATTGATCCTCTCGACAGTAAGTTGGAACATTTACTAATGAACCAACTAAAAATCGTTTGAAATTCGAGTACTCTACTAGATTAATGATAAGAATATCACCTTAAATTGGACCCATTTTTATTTTCCTTTTATTTTAAGATCTTCTTTCAGGAAAACGAGCAAGAGAGATTTTTTTCCTGCCATTAATCGTATTTGCGCAGTTGAGTCAATTTTGGGTGAATTTCAAATAATAGAAGAATCGTTGACACATTATAAAATACACAAAATGGAATGAATTTTTACTCCAAGTTTTAAGATGTTCTATGTGTGCTAGAAAGGTCGCTGTTAATTGAACGAGACCAGAGATGTACACAAAAACTAATAACGAAAGAAAAAAAGCGATGTTGAAAAAAGAAAAGAAATAATTAATTGATTAAAACCTTTTGAAATTTATTATTTGTTTTGGGGTTTTTATTTTTGTTTTTTTTCTCGAACTATTGAACTCAGAATTTAGGGACTACTTTAGCATACTCGTACATTCCATTCCATTTTATCTTTTCGGTTTCCTGGCGATGTACATCGGTTCAAATTTACTCTCTTGCTTTTAATTTTAAAAAAGAAAAACCCTGAGGGATGTTAATATGTTACTTTTAATGTCAAGCTCACTGCTTACAACAAAAAAACTTCACTTGTTCATTAACTGACCTTCTTCAAGAACGTTCTTAAATCAAATAAATAGATATATAATAATCTATTGAGAATCCCAGATTGTAATTATTCTGCTTCTTGTAAGTATTCTGCTTCTATATTTTCAAACTAGACCAAACCTGTATTGAAACAAAGGTGTCATTGAAATGAAGTTGGCAAAAATCAGCATGAGGCTTTAAAGAGATCAAAATTAGAATTTTGTGTAAAACGGGTAAAAGAAATGCAAAAAGTTAAACTTAAAAACCGGTTACATAAAATACATATTTTTTTCATTTATATTTTGTTCATTCTTTCGTTCGTTCTATCGTTCAAGTTATGAGGTACACATAAATTATCGTCACCCGGAGAGTCTGCATCAGTACCTAGTCTATGTATGTTTCAATATGTATTTCATTTTAAGTTAATTTCCAAATCACTTAAATAGGTAGTCAAAAACGTCTTACAATATACGGAAAGCAAATAGAAAAGCTATAAGTGACGATGAGAGGTGAGCCGCAAACCACTTCAGTGAAAGTTAGAGATTATTGAATATAAATTCTAAGTGACGTTGAAAGTTGCCTTACTATTTTGGTCTATTTCAGTCTATTTAGATTCTTGAGAAAATTGTGCTCTTATTTTTGGTCCCAGTGATAAACGTTGGGGGAATCCTATGTTGGTGATTCTATTTCTTATTCCTAGTGATCTAACTGATGGTCCCAGTGATGAACCTTGGGGAAAATCCTATTTTTGTGATTCTATTTCTTATTCCCAGTGACATAGCTGATGGTCCCAGTGATGAACCTTGAGGAAATCCTATGTTTTTGATTATATTTCTTATTCCTAGTAACATAGCTGATGGTCCCAGTGATAAACCTGGAGTAATTCCATGTTTGCGGTTCTATTTCTTATTCCCAGTGACCCACATTTAATCTAGTTAATCCAACTGAAAAAGTATCATTGAGCTCTGTGTTGGTGGTTAATTCAAAGGAAACTTTTTGGTTCATTACAATGGGCTTTGTTCAAACCAATGCGTATTCCTTAATAAAGAAGAGCTTTTTTCATACTGTAACTGACAATCTATGCTCTTTTTAATTAATTTCTTAATCATACAAATTGTGTGCCACTTAGTATAATATCCACAAACCTTGGACGAGTATTTACAAACTGCGTTGGATTCAAAATTTTGTTTGATAGTGATACGAAGTTCATCTTTTCAAATTAAGTAGTTTCTCATAACCTTTGCAGATATAAAGTTTGTCTACAAATGTTGTTTCTATCAAATTAATGGACATTTGCAGAGTAAATTTTATGCCCAAAAATAAATGATCATAATATTTCGATAAACAAAAACAAATGGATAGATGAGTGGATGATGATGATGATGGCGGTGCTGATGATGATGATGACGATGACGATGAGGATGATAATAATGATGATTGCGGTGGTGATGATGATGATGATAATGATGATAATGATAATGATGTTAATGATGGTGGTGGTTGTGGTGGTGCTGATAATGGTGATGATAATGATAATTGTTTTGTAAGATTCAAAATTTCAAACATTCTGGATTATGTACGATCTTCACGAAACTATAATTTTACTTGCTAATATCATTATGGATAATTTGACTACAAACGTTTTTGTCTTATAAAACAAAACAAAAAACAAAAAATCGATATCTTGACGTCACAGCGAAAAAGCTCAATACATTGATACTCTTACTTGCACGGTCTCGATGCGTGTCCATTTCACATATAAACCCTCTCGGGCTATACCATCCAAGACAAGCCAGGTCGTTGAACCCCCCAGTACTTTTCAAGTACTCTCTTGCTATATTAACACATCTACCGTCTCCAGATGGTTGGTATGGTTGCCAGTGGTCATAGTTAAGACGAACGCCCGTCAACCAGAACCATGCTTTGCTGGATACTTCACCACGCCTTTGCAGCCCTTAATAAAATAATATTTGACGTGAATTATCTTATTATATTATATTATATTATTATTATATTGAATATTCTACACAATGAATGAGTCTGTAATCGAGGAACACAGCGGTAATTTGGAACTCGAAAATGGTCTATACTATGCCCATACTCGTGTTCCTTAATCATGTTACCATATTTTTATATGAAAACCGGACCGAATAAGAATAAGAATATAAGGCTTCTTGATAGATATATAGGAAGGGGTTTGATAAATTTTTGATGTGAAAAAAAGAAAAGAAAAAAAAAAAAACTAATCGTTAGTCGAACTTTCAGGTTTGAAAATCCCTGAATTATTGGGCTCAGAACATGAATATAAATACTTTTAACTTCAAATACAATTCACTACTTGTTCACTTTCCCATAATATAAGCGGGAAAATTTTGTAAACAAAGGTTTCGGTTACATAGACAAGAAGAGTAATATCAGTCAAACCTAGAGTGATTTTACTTGCCCGTAACGAAGTTACATATGATTGGTGACTAACAGTCAAAGTGTAGAACAAAAAAAACAACAACGATGGAATTAGTGTCTAAGACTGGGTGTTACGTTAACTGTTTATTTACAAGCGACAGATAAATCACCCTAATATCGAGACTAATATCCACGAATTGCAAACAATAAGACAAAAAACAATGTCGTAGCATATTAGCATGTGCGTTGAGCATGGCTGATCTGTATTTGAATCCCATGATATCGATCGTGACTTCACGCGATAGTAAACGCGTCAAACTCAGGGTGTTTTGTTAAAGATGTAAAGAAGCGAAGACAGGAGTTTCAATTGACAAACGTWGAAGGGTAGAATTGTAAATACAAGACTCTTTGTTTACATAGCATCTGTTGTAGTTGTGAATCAAGATCGTGGATTTGAAAGATGGGCTGTCATTCTATTGGTTCAGGCAGGTAATTTAACGGACAGTTATTCCAGTTTTGAGCGACAATACTTCAACAACGAGTTCGTCTGCGCTAGCTATTTTATTTCGAGTGATAAACACGAAAAACTGGATATAGAAAGCTGGGCCCCAAATAAAGAAAAAAGGGGGACGCGTCACTTTTGAACGATTTGGCACTCTGGATAGTGAAGGAAAGGAATTGTATAAAGATTTGAAAATATTAATATGTATAAATCGTAAGTTTACAGATTTGTATCGTACGTTTTCCTTTTTTTTTTCTTTCTTTTCTTCATTTTTTCCTATTATCCCTCCTTCCCTCTTTTCGTACTTTTATAGTTTTTCTTTCTTTTGTTTCTTTCTTTTCTTCATTTCTTCCTCTTATCCTTCCTTCCTGCCCTCTTTCCGTACCTTTATAGTTTTTTTCTTTGTTTCTTTGCATTTTTATTACTTTATTCTTTTCCTCCTTCTCTTTCTTCCTTCCATCCTTCTTTTTTCTTCTTTCTTTCTGTCCGATATTGGTTTCATTGCTTTGTCCAGTTGTCATTGATGTGCTAGCCAATCAATAACAAGCTATGCTTTGACGATGAAGCTTCAAAAAAACGAGGGTTCCTGTGTACGAAAAATTGAAAACTCCTTACCTACGTGCCACTCATCCTGAAACCGGTTTGTCATGTTTTGCAGCTCATTGGTAATGAATTTCCATTCATCTTCGGTTTCCAAGGAGACCAGATCAGCTGACATATTAAGACACTTCTTTCGGTTGTCGTTCCAAGTGCTTCCATTAGGAAAGAATAGGTAGACGTGATGATGACGTCTCCTGGTGACTGGTGAGGACAAGATTTAATTGCAATGGTGAGTCTATGCTATCCCTGATTATTGACCATCGGCCAACATCATAATCATCATCATCACCATCATCCATCAACCATCATGATTGTCATCGTGCAACTATCATCCTAGTCTCTTTCACAGCCCTCATTAGTTTCGGTCCCAGATCCTCTCTGGTCTTTATCCATCGAAATCGTCATCAAAATCAACTTCATCGCTATTATTATTTCGCCAAAATTCATTCACCTTTTTAATCATGAAATGCTTCAAAAACGCGATACTTAATAGAAATGAGGTACCCATTTCTTTCTGGGGTCGGATTAAATCCAAAATCTATAACCATTCCCTAGATACGCTTTACACTAAACCTTAGAATAAAGTTTATTCCTAAGTTGTAGGCGGAAATAAGTGAACATCAGCAAAAACACATACATATTAGTGGCGGATCCAAGAGTGGTTCCAAGGGTTTCTTGGAATTCTCCTTGTGTGAGATCTTGTGAAGCCAATCATGTTTTTTATGCTCAGTAGATTGACATTGGACCCCCCTTTGTGAAGCCAATTTTACCAGCGCTTTCTGCATGGCAGCCAATTTGGAACCCCCATATTTATATTAAAATCCTGGATCTGCCGATCAACAACTTACTTAAATCCTCTGCTTGCGATGAATGACGACAAACCCACGATACAAGACACTGAATAAAGTAAAAAAAAAACGTCATTAATAAATCACCTTGGAAACACAATGACATCAATCGCCATGGCAACAATCTTACATGGGGAATTATGGAGGTGTATGGAGCGTAATGCGCTTGCCTTTTACCTCTGGGGTCCAGGGTTCGATTCCTACTCAGCATCGTATGTGAGTATAGTTTGTTAGGTCACTCCCTTTATAGACGCTTTGCGCTATTACGTGCTCGTGCCCATAATACAGCTTGGACTGCCTGTGGTTCGATGGCAGAACAATATAATCCCTTTGTTCTTGGGAATTGGATTTTTTTTAAATCTAAAACGATTGATTGTTCCTGCCATCTAACATGGCTGCGATCACGTGATAGTGCAAAACCTCTATTCCAATTTTTTCTCCGTGTTTCCGGCTTTCCTCCATCCAAAATCTAAAATGCTTGATTATTCCAGTTGCTTTAGGGTACAACCTAAGATTCATTAAAGAACACGATATATAAGCCTGCTGACTCACAGTGTCAGACCGTTAATTAAGACCGACAACAATTCAAGGATGGCTTAAATAAATATAATATATTCATATATCATGAAATGAAAAATTGTGTTGTTACTTTAGAAAGCCTGTTTCAAAATAAAGTTGACTAGATTCCTGGCTTTGACATTTCTCTTTTTTAAAACAACAAATAGACCCCTTACACTGAGTCCCGAGAGGAATTGTTCTGGCAGGCACAAAACAATAGGCCGTCTTTTCTTATGCAAAAAAATCCATTTTTTTGTCCCCCAGAACAATTCCTCTAGGGAGCCAGTGCAAGGGGTCTATAACCCTGTGTCAGTCATTTTACGTGGATAAAAAGGTATTGTTTCTTATTGAAGATGGGTAAATTGTTCTGCCTATCTGTAATGATGATGATATAGTGAAATTTCTGATGTCAAATACTCATTGAAGTCCTCTCGAAGTACTTTTTAAAAATCTTTATTCGAGATTCGAGATTCGAATAAAATTGAGTAAAAAACAAGCGCATTTCTAACAAGTTCTTTCTCTTGTTCTTCTTGTTCTTCAATTCTATGATATCATTTCTTTTCTATTCTAGTTTTCCTAACATATTTATTTAAAAATAAGATGAAACTTTCAGATTCTACAACGTTTCATTTTCAATAGCTTGTTTCAAGCAAACGATGACAACAATTTGTTTGCCTTATTAACTACAGTGAATTTTATCTTTAAGATCAATTGTAAACACAAACAATGATAATAAAAATAAGTAAAAACATTCTTACCTGGAATAATACAACGCTTATAAACTTCCGTATCGAGTGCCTCGCCATTTTATACGCCGCATCCCAGTTTTATCGAGAAAATTTGAATCAGCAATATTTCGTTTACTTGATATGCAGTTTTCACTTCTCAAGCTACCAACTCTTCTTCTGTTTCAAATTACGATTGTCGCCGCCAGATCACTTTCCTCTAACCCTCTATAAGTGCGTTTTCTTCCTAGAATATTTTCTAACAGTTTTGTTCCGAAAAGTACCAATTTTTAGCTGGTATTTTTGAAATAAATGCTTATCACATGGACTTTATTTTGAACGAATTGCGACGGACGTTCACCTGGTTTCGATGATGGCTCATGATGTCAATCACACATTATTAGACAGTTTGCACCCCGAATGATTAACACATAATATTATTCTAAAAGCACAGTACTTTTGATTTGCCATGAAGTGCAGGATATACGGCACTTGAAGTTCTCAACAACCAAATACGATATAAAAAATGCCTTTTCTAAAAGGTTATGACAGCTTTATGTGAGTAACTCTCTCACGTCAGAAACAATTTTCCTCTAATATATTCTTTGGCTAAACAAAATGTTTGTATATAAAAAAATCTGTAATTACGTCATTAAACTTGGGCGTATTTTTCATACAATACTTCATGTAACTTTAAATGAAAAAAAATATTACATCTATAATTGAATGTTTTTTGACGAACTCCGGGCAAAAGGCAAGGGTAAAATTTCTATATATTGTTCGTCTGTCGCAGTCGCTTCCTTTTAAAACTCACCGCGCTAAACAACTAGTTTCAATATCGGTCAACTCAGAAAAAAATGTAAAAGTACCGATTAAGAATATAGTTTTGTATGCAATAATTTGAATTGAAAAATAAACACCATCTTCATCCAATAACCATATCATTAATGTTTACAGAAAAATAACCAACTCATATTGATAGCATCAAATAAAATGGGGTTTTAAATGAATTTAATGAGCTTATAAATGAAAATTAGAAAGCAAAACCATGATATAGGTGTGGGTGAAAGAAAATCCTAAAGATTAGCAGAAGAGTGAAGTGCTTTCCTCTTTGTAAGAAGCAGTTGATAAAAGCCCATTAACCTAAAGCCGCGTTAAGAGAGATAGAAGCTTTAAATTGACTGTAACACCAGTTTAGGGAAACGCTTTTCCCATCGTTTTAGTGATATGTCTTTGATCTGCCGAATGGTCGATACTTGCAGTTTTATAGAACTATTGGTAGTAGTCTCTCGTCAGATTTTACTCAGCTGTTTGCTTGTGGTATTCCTTATTTGCTTCTTGTTTCATCCATCCATCCATCCATCCATCCATCCATCCATCCATCCATTCATTCATTCATTCATTCATTCATTCATTCATTCATTCATCCATTCATTCATTCATTCATCCATCCATCCATTCATCCATCCATCCATCCATTCATTCATTCATTCATTCATTCATTCATCCATCCATCCATCCATCCATCCATCCATTCATTCATTCATTCATTCATTTATTCATTCATCCATTTATCTTTTTATCCATCCATCAAGGTAATTTATTCACGATTTCTCCATTCATTAATGCTTTTATCCCATTCATTCATTTATCCATCCATTTATATTTTCCTTTATTTCAAATTTCTCTTTCCACTTATCTTAATCCCACTTTTCGTCCATTCTCAAATCCTTCTTCCTTTGCGTTTTTGGTTCACTTTCAGCTCTTCCATAAAAATTCAATCCTGTCAACCTCGACTGTCCATTGACTAAATTGCTTTCAATGACAACGTCCTCTGAAGGTCAGATAGACTAGCCATAGCGACTATTCTTGCCCCCTTATGAACTTCATAAATCATTCATTACTTTTAGTTATGACAGAAATATCTTGAAGTAAAAAAAGAAGTTTGAATTTGAATGCTTTTTGAACTTGATCCTGGTAATCAAAGAAATTCTATWWAAAAAAAATTAAAAAAACCCGCTGGCTCGTCAGTTGACTCATTAGGAATAAAGTCAGAATACAATCAATGTCATTAACGTTGTCCACCGTTTAGACATTTAGACTAAAAGATATATCACGTGTTTCATTATGTATTCTTGTGTGCGTCAGCCTGAACTTTAAATGTAAAATTCAACTCGTGAAACGAAAATCCAGAATGCCGACCATTTAGTGAGGATTCAAGATGGAGAATTGTACTTCAGCATTTGTTTTATGCCAGAACCTTCGAGAAAACACATGATATTCTTTTTAGTCTAAATGTCTAAATGTCTTTTGTTGGTGGACAACGTTAATGACATTGACTGTATATATGTAGTAGGAACTAATACTGATTATTGAAGTTAAAACAGGTTACATCGGTGTTAGAACCCTATTCAGAGGGGAGGGGTAGGGGGATTCAAGCTGTCCACCCTCTCAGGAAGTCAATTTTTGGATTTTGTCCTCAAATATCTCCAAAGCTAAAAATCTAATTTTCGAAGTGAAAAAGTACTGCCTTATTAGAAATAAAGTCAAAATATATGTAATTTGAACAACTCAACTGAATATTAAAAGTGGCCGCAAATCGAGGCCTAAACAATAGAAAATCCATAACATTCGATCTTATCTAAAACTATTTAACTTGTTTTCGATTATTTCCGTGGAGGAAAATTGCTGTATAACAGGTTTTTAGAAGCATGCCGCAAATCGAACAACTTGACAAGATATGTATCCTAAAACGCTTAAAGAAAATCTAGTCAAAAATAAAAATTATTTCAAAGGCCACGAATACATAATATTCAATGCTATACAAAACTGTAAAACTTGTTTTTGCATATTTTTGTGTAAGACAGTTCCAATGTAACAGGATTTTGAAAGCCCTGTATGTGAAAATTTATTAAAATCGGTTGTGCAAAACGTACAACCTTACACGATATGTTTCCTAAAACGCTCAAAGAAACTCTATTTAAAAAATAAGATTCATTTTAARAACGATGAATCCATAATATTCAATCCTATATATAACTGTTCAATTTGTTTTTGCATGTTTTCGTGGAGGAGAATTCCTGTATAACAGGTTTTTGGAAGACTGGTATATTGAAAAACTATAGAAATCGCATACCGCAATTCGAGGAAGCCTACAAGATATCTATCCTGAAACGCTTAAAGAAAACCTATGTAAAAAATAAAAATATTCTGAAAAACGATGAATCCATAATATTCAATCCTATATGAAACTGTTCAACTTGTTTCTTTATGTTTTCGTGGAGGAGAATTCCTGTATAACAGGTTTTTGGAAGACTGGTAGATAAAAAAATACTATTGAAACCGCATACCGCAAATCGAAAAACTTGTCAAAATATGTATCCTAAAACTCTTAAAAATAGTTAAAACTTGAAATCATTCCGAAAACGATGAATCTATAATATTCGATCCCATGTGAAACTGTTTAATTAGTTTTTGCATTTTTTCGTGGAGGAGTATTCCTGTATAACAAGTTTTTGGAAGACTGGTATATTRGAAAACTATAGAAATCGCATGCCGCAATTCGAGGAAGCTGACAAGATATCTACCCTGACACACTTAAGGAAAACCTAATTAAAAAATAGAAATAATCTGAAAAACGATGAATCCATAATATTCAATCCTATATGAAACTGTTCAACTTGTTTTTGCATGTTTTCGTGAAGGAGAATACCTGTATAACAGGTTTTTGGAAGACTGGTATATTAGAAAACTATAGAAATCGCATGCCGCGTATCGAGGAAGCCGACAAGATACCTATCCTTAATCATATCCTTTTTGTAATCACTACCAAATCCTGCAATCTGATTGGTTCAAAGGAGTGCGATTAATTCCCAAATCGCATCCTTAGGAGATCTTTATCGCATCATAAAAAATTATTTTTTTGAAACAAAAAATAAAACAAAATAAAACAGAAAAATCAACATAAAATTTTTTCTTTTTTTTAAGATGTATTTTTTTGTTCGCATTTAGGTCTACTACATTAAATTGATTATTCGGCACTTTTTCTTGTGTCTTTTTCTTGTGTATGATTACAAAAAGGATATGATAAAGTGGTAATTGAACTTCGTCTCATGCAATTTTGGTCTGAAATCAAACTTGCAATTGCAAATCGCACTCCTGCTACGCGGTCGTGCGATTTTGTAATCGCGCGTTTGATTTCAGACCAAATTGCACTCCACTCAGTTCAATTACCATCCGCATGAAACGCTTAAAGAAAACCTATGTAAAAAATAAAAATATTCTGAAAAACGATGAATCCATAATATTCAATCCTATATAAAACTGTTCAACTAGTTTTTGCATGTTTTCGTGGAATAGAATTCCTGTATAACAGGTTTTTGGAAGACTGGTATATGAAAGACTGCCATTTAATCGGCCCTTGCTGAATAATCGAGGAAGGTGACAACATCTTTAACCTGAAATGCTTAAAAAAATATAGGTAAAAAATAGAAATAATCTGAAAAACGAGGAATCCATAATATTCAATCCTATATGAAACTGTTCAACTTGTTTTTGCACGTTTTCATGGAGGACAATTCCTGTATAACAGGTTTTTGGAAGACTGGTATATCAGAAAACTATAGAAATCGCATGCCGCAATTTGTGGAAGCCTACAAGATATCTACCCTGAAACGCTTAAAGCAAACCTAATAAAAAAAATAGAAATAATCTGAAAAACAATGAATCCACAATATTCAATCCTATATAAAACTGTTCAACTAGTTTTTGCATGTTTTCGTGAAGGAGGATTCCGGTATAACAGGTTTTTGGAAGAGTGGTATATTAGAAAACTATAGAAATCGCATGCCGAAGTTCGTGGAAGCCGACAAGATATCTACTCTGAAACGCTTAAAGAAAACCTAATTAAAAAAAAGAAATAGTCTGAAAAACGATGAATCCATAATATTCAATCCTATATAAAACTGTTCAACTAGTTTTTGCATGTTTTCGGGGAGGAAAATTCCTGTATAACAGGTTTTTGGAAGACTGGTATATGGAAAACTATAGAAATCGCATGCCGCAATTCGTGGAAGCCGACAAGATATCTATCCTGAAACGCTTAAAGAAAACCTAATTATAAAATAGAAATAATCTGAAAAACGATGAATCGATAACATTCAATCCTATATGAAAGTGTTCAACTTGTTTTTGCATGTTTTCGTGGAAGACAATTCATGTATAACAGGTTTTTGGAAGACTGGTACATTAGAAAACTATAGAAATCGCATGCCGCAATTCGTGGAAGCCGACAAGATATCTATCCTGAAACGCTTGAAGAAAACCTAATGAAAAAATATAAATAATCTGAAATACGATGAATCCATAATATTCAATTCTATATAAAACTGTTCAACTAGTTTTTGCATGGTTTCGTGGAGGAGAATTCCTGTATAACAGGTTTTTGGAAGACTGGTATATGGAAAAACTATAGAAATCGCATGCCGCGTATCGAGGAAGCTGACAAGATATCTATCCTTAAACGCTTAAAGAAAACCTAATTAAAAAATAGAAATAATCTGAAAAACGATGAATCCG